TTGGGGGGAATAAATGCACTGATTTCTACAGACTGTAAACAGACTGTAATACTTAGTATCAGAATATATATATATATATATATATATATATATATATATATATATATATATATATATATATATATATATATATATATATATATACACATATATATATATACACATATATATATATATATATATATATATATATATTTTAAATGAAATAAGTAAATAAAATAATTTTTCAACAACCCAAGTAAGTTAGGTCAAAAGTGTGGTATACCATTTTTTTTTGTCAGTTGCACAGTTTTTTTACCAGCAGACATGTGAAGCCAGATTGTACACAATATTTATTGAAGTAACAAAAATAACTGAAAGAATTAGAGGTTTTTCTTCATACAACCATCCTGTATCAATGCTTGCAACCAACTGAGTGAGTCTGAAATGGCCAATGGAGGACGGGAATAAGATCTCTGCTGTTTCTGACTTCTAGGAGCCATCTTGGATGTGATGAAATCTATAGAATAACCCTAGTTGTGTTCTCACGAAACACCAGGGTTCTGCAGAATAATAATTGGGAAATACTAGTGTAAAGTATTTAAGATGTTGTAGCATTCCCTGTATGGTAATATTTCATAGCGGTTGCATTATATTTAATATCTAAGCATGTCACCATTTCCAGAAGTATGATGAAAATCTATCACCTAATTCATTATAAATAATACCTTGAGCAAGCAGGTGAGGATTTCGTTTTACTGCAGGTAAACTTTATTTTAATAATAGCCACTTAGGTACAGTAAAATAGCCAGAATCTATGGTGCTCAATAATTAAATTAAGTAGCGTGTGTAATCTAAAATTAAAATTGGCAATCATTAAAACAATTAAATGCTATTTCATAATGATTATCATGTGTTTACTGAAGTTCAGTGTACAGTTCGTATCAATAAATTCACTGCTCACTTAAATTCTAGAATATATTTTTCTAGATTTTTCTAGATTAGACTGGTAAAAATGGAAATAGAACACAGCTATCAGTCAGTGGCGTAACTACCATGGTCACAGGCTTCACAGTGGCTGCCGGGCACACCCCCGCCACCATACCTGAGGGCCGGTGCACAGCCACACCGACCCATGTCGTGAGGCCACATACTGACCATCAGGAGGAAAGAAATGTGCTGTGCTTACTGAAAGAGCTCTTCCTACCTAATTATTGGTACCATGGTGAAGAGCAGGTACAGGAGGGGAGGGGGAGAGAGAAATAGAGGGGCTGGGGGGGAGATGTAATGGGACACATGGAGGGGGCTGGAGGAAGGAAATGAGGCACATGGAGGGGCTTGCTTGGGGGAGAATAAGACACATGGAGGGGCTTGGGGTGGATGAGACACATTTAGGGGCTTGCTTGGGTGGGTGGGACACATGGAGAGACTTGGGGGGATGGGACAAATGGAGGGGCTTGCTCTGGGGTATGAGACACATGGAGGGGATTTGGGGGGATGGGACACATGAAGGGCTTGTTTTGGGGGAATGAGACACATGGGCTTAGGGAGGCTTGTACTCTTGGGGAGAAATGAGACACAAGGAGGGGCTGGGTAGGAGGAAATTAGCCACTTGGACGAGAATGTGACACATGAAGGGGATTGGGGTGCAAATGAGACAAATGGAATGGCTGGGGGGAAGAATTTGACACATGGAGGTGCTGGGGGAAATTAGACAAATGGAGGGGATGGGGGAAATGAGATACATGGGAGTGCTGGGAGGGGAAATGAGACACATAGAGGGGCTGGGGAGATGAAACACATGCAGGGGCTGGAGGGAGCGAATGAAACTCATGGAGGGATTGGGGGTGAGGGAATAAGGGGCTCAGTGGAGGAGAATGAGACACATGAGGGTGTCCCAGGCAATTTTCTCACTGGGGCCTGATGGTTTCTAGTTACGCCTCTACTATCAGTTACAAAAACTTCATCTTCCTTAATAAAACAAAACAAATATGAACAGTTAAAATAATGTATAAAAGCAATTCCCAGACATGTAATGAAAAATTATAAGAAACTACATTTGATAATGTAACCATGTCTAACTGAAGAGGAATAATTAACCAAACTTTAAATACTTTACAGTACTGTTTCTTATCCAGAGTACATATACATTACATGGTCATATACAGTGTTATAGTGTGATAAAATCTCTAGATTGTAATCTACAAATAGTATTATTAAGTATTAATAAAAAATGATAATGTCATTTATAGCAAAAATAGATAATGTACTTATTGTCAGCACTGTGTAATATGATGGTAGTGTTTAAATGCTAATAGTAATAAACATTTTGGCAGCTCCATACAGTTCTGTTACCCTTAATTGAGTCGAGCATTCCAGTTTTAAATATGATCTAACAGATTGTTATGATAACATAGATTATCACTGGTGATTAATGGGCTATATCAAGTTTAACAGTGACACCTTCAGTGAAAAAGAAAAAATCCAGTTGGGGTAAAACAGTTAAAAAACAAATTTACCACACTAATCTGTCTGCATGTAGAAATACGACTCCTCCATGTCCTCAACAGTAGAATACACACACACACACCAAAACACAGGTATCTACAATGCAGAAATCTAATAGAAAAGAACATGTTCCTGTGATGTGCCTACTTCCTATTTTTATCTTGTAAATGCAATGTGTACTAAAAGGTTTATTTTGCCATAGAAACTCTGCACTATTATTTTGTTTCCACTTCTCTTCTACATGTCCTGATACCAACACGAAGATACTCAGTTGTATATTGATATGCCTACAATCAATTTGGGTTTGTGAGTGTATTTCTACAGAATACTACTTTATACTTCATATATTAGAAATATAACCCTATGTTCTTTTCTATTACATTTCTGTTCTGTAGATACCAGTTTTTGGTGTTTGTATATTCTTTGATTAATGGGTTAAACTGGTGTGTTGAACAATCAATAAATGCAGTTTGTGGAATTTTCTCTTTAACAGAGTTCAAAACGGATTGTTGCTGTAGTAACAAATTCAATAAACTCACGCCGTAAAAAAGCAATAGACATAAACATACAAAGGAGGGAAAGAAACTATAATAAGGACAAGGAAGAACATAAGAAATTAGAGAGTAGAGTGAGATAGAATAAAGAGGAAAATTATGATCTAAGTGAAGGTTATGCAGAGAGGAGTCTCGGGTGTTATGACATAATTCAGGATTGCCAAGGCTATTTAGCAATATTTACAAGTAGCGTCTTTGGTTTTATGTTTAACAGTGTTCAAACTGAATATCTGTTGTCAAGTCCAATTATTTGCTATGGACTAACAAAGAAATATCATAACCCATTACATTACAATATATGAATTGGTTGTTACATGAGATTGTGGTTTTGACTTAGTATATTTTTCTAGATTAGACTGGTAAAAATGGAACTAGAACACAGCTATCAGTCAGTGGCGTAACTACCACGGTCGCAGGCTTCACAGTGGCTGCCGGGCACACTATTCCAGGGGGCCCAGCCGCCACCGCGACCCCCGCTACCATACCTGAGAGCCGGTGCACAGTCGCACCGACCCATGTTGTGAGGCCACATACTAACCATCAGGAGGGAAGAAATGTGCTGTGCTTACTGAAAGAGCACTTCCTATCTAATGATTGGTACCATGTGAAGAACAGGTACAGGAGGGGACTTAGTTTTGTCATTCATATACCTAACAGTCCTTTTTACCTATTCAATGTCGCACTTCAAACTCAGTTAATAAATGTATTTTATAATTACACTAATGACTCCTTTTTACAAATTGGCAGCAATTAAACATCTTGCAATTTGTAAAATTTACCTAAACGATGTAGTTTTGTTTTCTTTCTTTATTTTGTATTTGTTTCAAGACTTAATGTGTTTACTTCTTCTCATTCTGAAAATAAACTAGAACATGTGCACAAGCCTCTTGTAAAGTTCTGTTTAGTTTTAGAAATGGCAAATACTTAAGGGACAAAAAAATAACAATTTTGTGTCTGTATTCTCAACTGATATTGAACTTTGGAAGCATTTAGATTGTTTACTAGCATACATGGTTTTTCTTCTGGAAAAAAGTCTCTAAAATTTCAGTAACTATCTTATGTCTTTTTCCGGTCTGTATAACCTCTTTATCTAAGCAAATGTATGATTAAAATATTACATTACCAAGCAACTTTCTGCCTATTAAAGTACACTCTCCAATGGGTACTGATATTTACATTCCCAAAAGCATTGTATTGTTTCCCAATTGGAATATGTTGGATGGTACTTAGAACAAGACTCCTCACTGAACACAAAATAATTGTAAGAAAGAAAAAAATATTTAGGATAATGAAATAGAAGGGTGTGGTCATAAAATATTTAACAGTCATAATGCCCTTACTGTGGTATGGAAGAACACACTGACAGGATATCTAGACCTAGCTATAAAGCATAGCTATAATGTTATTTATCATCAAGGAGGCATAACCACCTAGCAAAGCTAGTGGGTATGCGGCAGCCTCCCGGAGTCATTCCAGAGCTGAAAACGCTTGCGCTGTGCATCTGCACAGCAACAGCATTTCAGCCAATCAGGTAATCAGGAGACCCGTGCTGAGCACAGGAATCCTGATTGCCTCAGATTTTTTTAAATTGCATCATTGCTGGAGTACTCTATTTCTGTGTCTGCCACAGATTTAGTGGATGCCTCTCTTCAAGGCAGCCCCATCAATGTTAGAATGCTCCATAAGAGAGCTTTCCTTGCCAGGGATCTATCCTCTTCATCCTCTGAGGAGGATTTGGTCCCAGTTTTAAGCAAAAAGAATAAAGGAAGGTGGCTGGTCTGAGGAAAACTTCTCTGCTCCTCCTTCCACTCATACTCGTTTGAGTAAGTGTAAAATTAAGGGGACAGGACCCCAAAAAAGGAATAGATTGTTTCCCTCGTTTGAGCACCAGAAACAACTTCTAGAGAAAAAGGACAAATCTCATTGGAGGTTAGATAGTCTCTCTCCTTCCTTTTCTAGAGCGTTAGCTCACTCTACCTCCCAAAGCCGTGCCATTTCCAGATACGTCTCTCCAGAAATAGACTGGGAATCCGAGGAAGTGGTACGCTCAGCAGCTTCCACTGAGCAAGGGAAGCTAAGCAATGTTCAGATGGCCAGAGTGAGTCTCCTAGGAAAGACTCTCCCATCAAAATTATTTCACTACAGATGGGCTATGGAGGACGATTCTGAGGTTAGAGATTTTGCTAAACTAGCCTTCAGATCCCCGTTGGTTAAGGAGGATGACCTTCTCCTCAGGAACCACATTGGTATCCCAGACATTCAGGCTTTAATGGCTCCAGAGGTAGATCCTGCTCTGTTATCTATCATAGGGAGCAGTGTATCCTCTGATCCCACAGACCAGACTTTTTGCAATATACAGTTCAAAATTGCTGATGTTGTGGGTCCACTATTACTGATGCTGGATAAGGCAGAAAAAGAAGGCAATGCTCAGAAACCTTCTGCTTCATCTGTGTTGGAGTCTAAGATGGCTCTTTTAAAAGCGTCTTGCAGGGCAGTGCTAATTATTGGCTAATCCTTTAATTACATATCAAACATCCGCAGATCCTGCTTGCTCCATGCAGCAGGTCTGTCCGACCTAGCCCCCAAATCGCATGAGTTCCCAAATTTGAAGGACTCTTACCTATTCGGTCCCTCGTTCATTCAGGAGGTTAAAGGCCGTTACAAGGCAAGGAGATACTTTTCAGAACTCAAGAAGTCTGTCCCTGGCTACAAAAACCCTTTTGGACAGAGGGTCGCCCCTATAGGGCTGCAGGAGCGTCCTGAGAAGCCTCTCACCAGGCCCAGTACCGGCACTACAGTGGAAGACACAAGCACCTGGGCGGTGGCAGAGGAGCGCATTCCAGAGGCAGTTCAGCTTCCAAAAGAAAACCCATGCATTCAAGTAAGTGTGCCTCCTCATATGCCACTAAATTGGAAGGATATTTACTCAGACAAATGGGTTCTAAAGATTTTTCAAAGGGGTTTACAACTCCCCCTTCTAAGGTTCACAGTCCAGAAATATGCACCCCACAGAGTGAGCCCAGTGCTAGATGCCTCCCTTTCCTTAGCTTTAAGTCAAGGGAAGATAGAGTTGGCAGGCATGTCTATTACAGGATGGGTCAGCCCATTGTTCCCAATCCCAAAATCAGATGGTTCCTGGAGACCGGTCCTAAACGTGAGGTCTCTGAACGCTTTCATGAAAAGGAAAAGGTTCAGGATGGAGGGTTTATCAGATCTTCCAGGCTTAGTACAGAAAACGTTTTTCTGCATAAAGTTAGACCTAAAAGATGCCTTCCATTCAGTCCCCATAGCTAAGAAACACAGGCGTTTTCTCAGGTTTCAGTGGAAAGGAAAAGTGTGGCAGTGGACCGTTATGGTGTTTGGCCTATCCAACGCACCATACACATACTCCAGAATTATGAAATCAGTGATAGCTCATGTCAGACTAAAAGGTTTCATGTGTCTGTACTATCTAGGCAACATCCTGCTCATGCACCCAGATGGGGAAGTCCTTGCTTCTCAAAGGGATTACCTTGCTTCCCTTTTACAAGACCTAGGATTTGTAGTAAATTTACAGAAATCAGTCCTAATTCCCACTCAAAGCATCCTCTTTCTGGGTTTCGTACTGAACACCAGGACTACAGGGAGTGCAGAATTATTAGGCAAGTTGTATTTTTGAGGATTAATTTTATTATTGAACAACAACCATGTTCTCAATGAACCCAAAAAACTCATTAATATCAAAGCTGAATATTTTTGGAAGTAGTTTTTAGTTTGTTTTTAGTTATAGCTATGTTAGGGGGATATCTGTGTGTGCAGGTGACTATTACTGTGCATAATTATTAGGCAACTTAACAAAAAACAAATATATACCCATTTCAATTATTTATTATTACCAGTGAAACCAATATAACATCTCAACATTCACAAATATACATTTCTGACATTCAAAAACAAAACAAAAACAAATCAGTGACCAATATAGCCACCTTTCTTTGCAAGGACACTCAAAAGCCTGCCATCCATGGATTCTGTCAGTGTTTTGATCTGTTCACCATCAACATGTAGAAAAAACAACGAGGGAACCGGCTGATAATCTCTACAAAAGTAAATAGAGAAAATATAGTGTAATACAGTTTACAGTATAGACATTGCGCAAATTGAAATGCACTCACTGGATTTTGGACAAATTGAAGCTTGTAAGGTGCCTTCCCCGATAGTAGGGGGGGCTAGGGAAATCCCCTGGATATTTTCACTCCAACACAGGACTCCGGGTGAAGTATGAAAAATTGGCTTTAATTCAATATTAAAATAAGTTTAAAAAAGAATAAAATAAATATAAATAAGGTCCTACGCGTTTCGTCCCTTTAACAAAATAGGGACTTCCTCAGGGACCACAATATTAAGAAACAATTTGATACAGTACAATCAAAAAACAGCCTAACAAATCCCCACCCGAAAAGTCCTTTAAATAGGGCTAATCCCTCATCTAAATTCAGTCACATGTTATCCTCAGACTCTCCTCATTGGTCCTCCATTAATAGGGTTCATCTGTTGCCGATCGCGGCTCCAAGTGTTCACAGCTGATTTCGGAATTGTTCAATAATCCTCCGACAGCTGCCGGCACGGAAGTGCCATGCGTTCCAACTGCGTTCACTAAACCGGAAGTGGCATGCGTTCCAACCACGTTGACGGAACCGGAAGTAATATGCGTTCCAAACTCGTTGTTTTGCGTTCCATTTATAATCTGCAATATCTGGCCATAAAATACATGTAAATACTTCCACTCTTCCAATCAAAAGTCACTATTAGTGTATTAATCTTATAATTCATACAAGAAATACTATGCTATTCACCATATAAATTCAATAACTAAACATAATCCACTCTAATATACCACATGAATGTGATTTAATAATATCAATTAATCCCATATTTTTATGAAAATGTGATTTATATTCATCAGTAAATTTGTAATAAATGCCAATAAATTCATCAATGTGCTACTTTTTGTGTCAATCATTATTTATTATTTTTTTTTTTCCCTTTCTTTCCTCATTCTTCCTTTCTCTCCTCTCACCTTTTATATATACATATATGTAATGTATTACTTGATTTAATACTGAATAGTGAATCTTTTTGTTTAATACTAAATAGTGAATTACAATCATAAAAAACACACCAAATCCACTTCAACATTTAAACCTCCTGGTTCCAATGTCTGTAATTTATGGATCCAGTAGGTCTCACGTTGTGATAGTTTTTTAACTCTATCACCCCCTCTCCAATCTGTTGTTACCCTCTCAATACCAATGCACTTAAATTTTGTAAAAGAAAATAGTGAACAATGATTGCAGTGAACTGGGATAGAGTGGGTGGCCAAGTTCTTTTTGATATTATTGATATGTTCCATAAACCGAACTTTTAAAAATCTCTTTGTTCTGCCAACATATTGTTTGCCGCACGGACACTGCAGTAAATAAACTACATAATCCGTGCGGCAATGATTTTGATCTGTTCACCATCAACATTGCGTGCAGCAGCAACCACAGCCTCCCAGACACTGTTCAGAGAGGTGTACTGTTTTCCCTCCTTGTAAATCTCACATTTGATGATGGACCACAGGTTCTCAATGGGGTTCAGATCAGGTGAACAAGGAGGCCATGTCATTAGATTTTCTTCTTTTATACCCTTTCTTGCCAGCCACGCTGTGGAGTACTTGGACGCGTGTGATGGAGCATTGTCCTGCATGAAAATCATGTTTTTCTTGAAGGATGCAGACTTCTTCCTGTACCACTGCTTGAAGAAGGTGTCTTCCAGGAACTGGCAGTAGGACTGGGAGTTGAGCTTGACTCCATCCTCAACCCGAAAAGGCCCCACAAGCTCATCTTTGATGATACCAGCCCAAACCAGTACTCCACCTCCACCTTGCTGGCGTCTGAGTCGGACTGGAGCTCTCTGCCCTTTACCAATCCAGCCACGGGCCCATCCATCTGGCCCATCAAGACTCACTCTCATTTCATCAGTCCATAAAACCTTAGAAAAATCAGTCTTGAGATATTTCTTGGCCCAGTCTTGACGTTTCAGCTTGTGTGTCTTGTTCAGTGGTGGTCGTCTTTCAGCCTTTCTTACCTTGGCCATGTCTCTGAGTATTGCACACCTTGTGCTTTTGGGCACTCCAGTGATGTTGCAGCTCTGAAATATGGCCAAACTGGTGGCAAGTGGCATCGTGGCAGCTGCACGCTTGACTTTTCTCAGTTCATGGGCAGTTATTTTGCGCCTTGGTTTTTCCACACGCTTCTTGCGACCCTGTTGACTATTTTGAATGAAACGCTTGATTGTTCGATGATCACGCTTCAGAAGCTTTGCAATTTTAAGAGTGCTGCATCCCTCTGCAAGATATCTCACTATTTTTGACTTTTCTGAGCCTGTCAAGTCCTTCTTTTGACCCATTTTGCCAAAGGAAAGGAAGTTGCCTAATAATTATGCACACCTGATATAGGGTGTTGATGTCATTAGACCACACCCCTTCTCATTACAGAGATGCACATCACCTAATATGCTTAATTGGTAGTAGGCTTTCGAGCCTATACAGCTTGGAGTAAGACAACATGCATAAAGAGGATGATGTGGTCAAAATACTCATTTGCCTAATAATTCTGCACTCCCTGTATGTCTCTAGGAATCCCTCAAGACACATGGGACAAATTACTGGTACATTTAACCTCATCCCTCAGGCAGCAGAGTTGGTCCTTGAGAGACCTAGCAAAGATTATCGAGAAATTAATAGCATTAACACCAGCATACGATAATTCCCCCTTACTTTGCAGAAGAAGTCAGCTGTTTTTAGAGAATCGACTAAGACAGGGCGGCCATTGGGAATCAAAATTCATTCTCCCCAAGAAGGTCAGAGAAGAGTTGAAGTCCATTCTGGAGTTAGAAATTCCACTTCCTCGTCCCCTGTTGCCTCAAGTCACGGTTGGGGTGCATTTACAGCCCAGAACGCCATAAGAGGAATTTGGTCAGACCAAGAGAGTCACCTCCATATAAACATCTTGGAGTTAAGAGCTATAAAATTAGTATAGCGGATGGTACTAGGGTTGTCCTAAAAGACTGTGGTAAAACTGCAATTCGTGTGTTGTTTTCTTCTATATAGTTAAACTGTATGTAGGATTTGTGTGATTGTTCAGTAGTTTCCATCCATATTCCATACAAATGGAAACTACCAAACCAATAGACCACCCCACCGCAGGTTAATTGGTACATTGTGCATGTATCTGGGTGGCCGCCGTTGGGCATACGAACACGTGGTGACGGCCATCTTACGCACGAAAATCTCAGCGGTGTTTGGTCGTCGAGTGTCTGGAACTCAAATCGGACACTCAATTACCTGAACACCGCTGAAACCTCCAGGGCTCCGTAACTCCTGAATGGGAAGGCTAATCACCCCCCACGTTCGGTAAGTTTAATGT